TATTATTTTTGTAGTGTCAATTTTTTTATTTTCTAGGAGCATGGAAAGCAAAGGTATTGGAAGGATGCATCAGCAAACCAAATGGTTGGAACTAAGTGTGAGGTACCCACACGAAGGACCAAGCTTGGGAGAAGTCTGAGTACCCCATGAACTGCTAGTGCTTCGGCCTTTGGCCTACCAGGGAGTTTCTTTTACCCTCTTGTATGTATGGGTGTGCATTGGGGACAATGCACAATTTTAAGTGTGGGGTGAGGAGATTGTCTGGGTGATTTTTCATGCTACTTTAGCTGTGTTTTTTTTTAAAAAAAGATTGGACTTTTCCTGATGACGGATCTTCTAGACAGTTTTCTTGAGGGAAGTAAGTCTAAAGAAAATACCAAAAAGATTTTTTGTTTTGTTAGGTAGTGTAGCAATTACCCCTTGGTTTTTCTTTAAACCACGGTTCTTTTCCAAGGGTTTTATTTGAACCGGGTGTAGTTAGTTTTTTTTTTGGGAATAGGAGCCATTGTGTTTTGTTTTGAAATGAAGCAATATCTCTTGACTTTGTTATGCCTTGAGAATAGTGAGTACTTTGGCTGTGACGCTTAGGCTCAGTTTTTGACTCTTGTATAAGTACCTTAAATTGTATGATCTTAAATTTGCTTAACTGCTTTGACTAGGGTGTCTTGATGAATCCAATCCTGAGTGAGTTATGTGCCATGTGTGTGTAAGGTTTTGTGTTATTCTGTGCAGTGCATTTGATGCCTAGAACTTGCCCCGTGTGTTTGCAAAGCGAAATAGTAGTGTTGTTCAGTCTTGGAAGTGATATAGGCGTTTTCTTGTTGAGCCAGATATGTATATTTTACCCGCCTAATTATTATGTATCGTAGTTAACCCCTTTGAGCCTGTAATCCTGTTTCTTTGGCAACCACATTACAAGCCTTACCCATTTGTTCGAATTAACCATCTATTTGAACCACTGTAACCTCTCATGAGCACTTGAATTATTTATGAACTTTGTAAAAGTTAAAGTGTGGGGTGGTTGGTTTGGCTTTTGAGTGGAACTAATGAAATAAGGAGAAAGGTGCACTGTTTTGAAAAAGGAAGAGCCACTTGAATTGGAAAAAAAAATATAATTGGATTGTTGGAAAAAAAAATTCTTGATAAGTGGTGGCTCTTGACGTAGGTGTGCTTAAAGAAGTATGGGGTAAGTATGGGGTTTAAATGTTAAAATGTATGTATTAAAGTGCTTAGGAAGGTGTAGTCACTCTTATATCTAAATGTATCCTTCCCGTCCCGTAGCCTACATTACAACCAAATAAAGTCCTAATTGATCCAAGATTGAATGAGCTCGATTAGTGGAGTAGTACACTACGGGCAAGCTTATGGTGCATCTTTTGTGGCATATGAATGTTATTTCTGAGAGTGAGTGAATTCTTTCTATCTTGAGTTCCTAAGTGTTCTTAAATTTTATTGTGTGGAACTACTCTCTTTTGTTGTGTGAGGAACATGAAGGAAAGGTAATGTTAGTCACCTCTATATTAGAGTAAGTGGGTGAGTTGTGAATAACGTGTGGTACTTGTGAGTCAAATCTTGAGGTGAAGATGTTACGCTTTTGTGCTTAGTCTATTTTAAATACTCTTGGTGTGAGAGTTAGGAGAATTGTTTAAAAGGGTCGTGTCTATAAAAAAGTGTAGTTTGATTGCTCGAGGACGAGCAATGGTTTAAGTGTGGGGTGTTGATGATAGGCTATAATTGCATATTTTAGTTGCTTATTACACTCGAATTTACTGCACTTTAATTGAGTTTGCGCTTTAATCGCTAGTGTTTTGCACTAATTGTGTGTTTTATGCCTTGTAGGTGTGATTTCGAGCTATATAGATGTTATGGAATGAATTTAAGTGCTTTGAAGCTTTGAAGTCTGAGTAAAAGCTCAAGGAATTAAGTCGGGATCGTGTTCGGGGGTCAAATTTGATAATTAAGTACGAACGAAGACTTGAGGAGGCATATTGCGTACTGTCTAGTAAAATAGACATAACTTTTTGCTCAGAACTCCATTTGGGCTCCACAATATATGGTTGGAAAGTTAACTCAAAGGGTTACAACTTTTATGTTTTATGTTTTTCCAAATTCCAAACGGAACAGGGTGAAAAACCGCGTTTTTTCCGCAACCGCGGCAGAACCTCGGTAGAAGATGGTCGCGGACAACTGAAGAATCAGAGGGCATGTTTGGCCGCGGTTCCACCGCTATCGCGGCAAAACCGCGTCAGGAAGCGAAAATTTCAGGGACTAAAGTGCAAAAATGGGATTTTAAGTCCTAAACCCTATATTAAACAAAGGAGGCCGGCCAAGAACAAGAAGAGGACATATTTTGGACACAAATTAGACCTAAGGAGGCGGAGAGACACTACTTTAGGGTTAGACAACACCCTTGGAGGCAACACATTGGGAGCAATGCGGGGAATTCTTCTACGAGTTTTTTCCTTCCTCTTCCTATTTTTTTCATTGTTGGTTATGACTTTTAGTATTGTAGTTTTACATACTATTATGAATAGCTAATTTGTTATCTAGAGTTTTGATAGAACCTTTTGTAGGATAAATTCTTGTTATGTTTTTATATAATTGAGCCATAGCTTTTCTCTATTTGTTCAACTACGTTTATATTCTGGTTGATCGAAGAGCTCTCAATTAGCTGTGCCTATTTAGTATGCATAACTCGGGAGAGAGTGCATATTTAGGTAGTTGTTGAACAACACCACTCCTAGAGTATATGAGGGATCAATAACCGAGGGTTTAAAGGTGGGATTAGGGATAATGAAGTCTTGGGTGCGATCTGAAGTGAGCTGTATTAAAAGCCAGCTAGCGTAGCTCGGGAGAGTGCGTCTAGTAAATTGTCGTAATTACTCGGGAGAGATTTACGATAATAAGAGTGCTCATGATCTGTAGAGAATACTTAGGCAAAATTATAGAAGACATAGCGGGAAGGATTCCGACAATTGGGGAATCATAACTCTAGACCTCCTTAATCTTTTCTCTAACCCTCAGTACCGTTAGTTGTTAATTTACTATTTTAATTTGTTAGTTAAGTAGTTAAACACAAGAATCTTAATATCTATAAGTTAGGAATTGTTCGAGCTTGTCTTCTTGGTGATAGTGAACAGTTGTAGCTAAACCTTAGTTCTCTGTGGGATTCGACTCCGGGCTTGTAAACCGGATTATATTTGCAACGACCGCATTGTCCTTTTTATAAGGCATAGTTGGGCGTGATCAATAGTTTATCAAAAATACTTTTTTTTTTTAAATTATGGATCTACTACCAGAAATGCAATGCGTAATCTCAGCTGAAGAAATTTTGGGAAAACGTCAACGACTGCTAACTTATTTGTCAAAAGAAAAAAATAGAGTACATTATAAAGAATTAATTAATCAGTTGGACATTCGAGAGACAAAAACTCGTTAATTTGATTTATTTGAAGAGTCATTTCATTCTCACTTATATGTTTCGACAAAATTTTGATGAACTTCTTTTCACTTTCAGCAATTCATGGAAAAATGAATTGGTAAAAAACTATGACTGCACCAACTACAAGAAAAGACATCATGATAGTCAATATGGGGCCTCAGCACCCATCAATGCACGGTGTTCTTCGACTCATCGTTACTCTAGATGGTGAAGATGTCGTCGACTGCGAACCAATATTGGATTATTTACATAGAGAGATGGAGAAAATTGTGGAAAATCGTCTGCTTTTACCTCGATAAAGTATGGGTAAGATCTGTATACACACTATTTTCCCTGGACTCCACCTGTAAGAATACATCAGGGCATGTGTTATATCTAATCAAAATGCACTGACGTTTTAATCGCTAGTGCTCAACTATGTATGAACAAATGGCTCTTCTTGGACTTGTGAAAATCTGATGATTATTGTATGTTTTTCTAATTCTTTTTTCTTTTATTGTGGATGTCTAGATAACTGGTAAGTCCATCATATCATTTTTTTCGCTCACTAAATTCGGTTATTTCGTCATAATATAACTTGATACCGAGAGTGCTTGTGAATGCCATGACTATTAGATTGAAGACTCCGTCCAGTTTATAAAGTCTTACTATATAGTTTCAATTATGGAAGTTACTTTAACTTCTTTTCCGCAAATTGATGCCGACTGACCAAGCTGTGATATTTCTGTTTCAAAAATTCTCATCGTCTTTGTGGCCATTCTGCCACCAACTATTTCACAGTGGATAACCACAAAAGAAGCACCCAAAAAAAAAAAAAAAAAACTCTTCTTTTGTTTGATGTCTCGAGATACTTCAAAATTAAAATAAGGGGAGACTAGATTTATTCAATTATTACTCCATGGTTCTTTGCAATGTATCTTCGACAAGCGTGGACATTGCACTCAGAATTGGTGGCAAGCGTTTAAAATGAATCGTACATCTTCAACAATTTGACAGCAAAATGTTTTTTTGTTTTTATTTTTTTAAAAAAAAAGACAAACAGAAATTGAGGTCAAGAATTGCTTACATTTTCGTGTAAACTATGTTGTTAAAAGCAGTAGGACTACGATTGATGCTGAACTCTTTTATAAAGTACTTCACGTGTAGGGTCTGGAACAATAATCAACATTAACTCATTAAGTACACCACACCATTAATTGTCCTATAAGGAAAAAGAGATCTAATTCCCTCTATAATTGAGACCACAATATTATGTCAATTGTCACAAATCCGTTAATGGGACTAGTTTTTATTTTTATTTTTTATGAGTCAAGGAAAAGTATTCTACTAGAGATTATTTTATACTAAGGTGAATTCCAAACTCCGGGTGAATATGACGCGCATGGATACAAACTTCAAAGGGATGTCGCTCCATTTCTTCATGCATCGGGCGGGCGGGGGAAGGGGTGGGGGGTCTCATGGATATCTGCATGACTAATGAGCTCAATACTGCAACAGCCAGATCAAAGGATTTAGCTGCTAACTAAAACTGATGGAGTAAATTTAAGGAACACCAGTCTGGAAAGATTGAATCCCCATCTGAATTATAAATGATTTTCAATAGCTAGACAATACAACAAAGACTAATCTATTCAAATGAAAATTTACCAAATTGCTAATTCTGTGTGACCATCTTCAGTTGCACAAGCTCTAAACATGCCGGTTGTATTAAATGGCATGGTAACTTCCCCAGTGGCAGATACAGCAATCAGGCCAGTGGTTCCTTTTGGGGCTGATTCCTCTACAACGTAGCCTGCTGCCTCCTTGAGAGAAAGCCCTTTATACTCCATTAGAGCAGCCACATCTCTCGCTACAGTTGCACGGATTATAGCATCACCTTGGCCTGTAGCGGAAACTGCACATATTTTATTTGCGTATGTACCTGCACCAATAATGGGAGTATCTCCTATCCTTCCAACCATCTTGTTTACTAGTCCTCCAGTAGAAGTAGCAGCAGCTAAATGTCCATAGCTATCAACAGCTACACATCCAACTGTTCCTAGCTGGCTATCCCCATTAGGACCTGGTGTTTTTTCATCTTTTGGTATAGGCCGTGTATTATAATCTACCTGTAAATTGGTAGCAGCGTTATTGGCCGATGACACGGAAGCAGAAAGCTTCTCAAAGATAGGATAACAGGAAAGTTTAGTTGTAAATCACGACAGTGAGTTTCCAAGAAGGGAATAGAACAAGAAAGCTCTGTTAGAGGCATATCTGCATAGCTAAACTTAAGCGATTAAGGCTGGATACCGTAATCAGACTCAGTTGGAGGCAACAAAAAGACGACCAAGTACATATGAATAACATGTGCCAGTGTTTGCTAAAAATGAGCACTAAAGCTCTTCAAAAATCTCAACCAAAGCACCAGATAAAAACATATACATATAAGAAAGCAGAAGACTTCAATCAATGTGAAGGACAAAGGCACAAATATACAATCTTGTAGCAAAGATATGATAAAGAAGAAGAGTTGCATACCTGGACTCTGTTTGCTTCTTTTGCTTGCTTTAATCTCTCAATATTTCTTGGAGTGATAAAGTGGCTTGGATCCATGGTTTCAACCCCCTTGATAACAGAATCATCACAGTTCATCAAATAGATTGAATATAAAAAGGGCCAAATTGAATGTAATAAAAACATACAACCAGGGATTATTAGCAGAGATACCATTCATCAGCAGTAAGTAGTTCAATAACTTTCTTATGGCTTTCTGCAGGAGTGTCTAAATTGATGTGGCAATAATTAACCAAGGACTTGAACCAAAATAGTTTTGGACAAGCCAATTTCGCAACCTCACACCAAGCCATTTAAAGCAAAAAACTGCCAAAGAATTAACTATGCCACTGGACCCTGTCTCAGATTTCGTGGAATGTTCATAAGAGAGAATAACATTAGAAAGTTTTACAAACCTGCTCCCTAGCAAATGCTTCCGCTCCCTCAAACGCAACATATATATGTGGAGTTTTTTCCATGACCAGCCTAGCCAGAGATATAGCATTCACAACTGTGGTTAGGCCGGAAACAGCTCCACAGTTTTTCGTATTACCATCCATGATGCATGCTTCCATTTCTACTGTACCATTGCTGGTTAGAACAGACCCTTTACCAGCATTGAAGTATGGGTTATTTTCCAGTTCCCGCACCTGCTTGATTCAAGCCAGTTAAAAGCTATCATAACATCAATAAAAAGTAAATTACTCATAATACAGAAACCAGAAGTTTTCAGAAGATCCAAGTTTTACAAGTTTCTCCGGAGCAACGCATTTACAGAATAGTAACATTTTTTCCTAGCACGAAATGAAGTATTGAGAGTATGTATTTGTAAGAAAAACTGAAGCAGGGGGTAAGAGCACTTTAAAACATTAAAAAGAAAACTTAACAGATAGTATCATACTGCTGATATAATCCAGTTTCCAATCCATTAACTAATTCTTTCACAAGTCCAAAGAGAAAAAGTAATTCAACCTAAGTATCAAACATAGTCAAGTACATATATTTAGTCTCATCCTAACATAGAGAAAAAAAAAACAAGAAATAGAGATTACATGCTCCTAAAGAAGAAGAGAATATACAGAAAGAGGTGTAAAATAAATAAGAAAGTTAAACATATACCTTTATCAATTAAGCATCCATTTCTCATGGGATTAAGATAAAAGACAAAAGAAGTAATACAGTCATAACTGAAAAGGAAGAATATAACAGGTGATATCCATCACTAAACAGAGTAAAGAACAAATCTTGATGAGAAATTGAACAGATACAAAATCGCTAGCAAGAAGGCAGCTACACTGACTAGCATAACTACAACCGATATCCAAATTCTTAGCAAAAACTGAAATAAAGGTAGAAAAAGAGATATGTGTGTTATTGTAAGGTAAAATTGGTATGTATACCACGAGTTCAACGACATCCAAAGGGGATTTATGGGCCCTGAGAGCATCGACCCCCATCTGTAAGCAACTGCGGAGGCAGGCTTCTCTGGGCTCACGAAGCTCCGGCGGCAGATCCTTTGGTATGTCACCAGCTCCACCGTGCAACGCTATAGCCCAACCCATAATTAGCTTAGCCCACCAATTGTCACTCGAGATTGTCGCTCTACGTACTTGCACTACCAAAAGGTGTTCGGTTGTAATCCTTTTTATTGGAGGGAAAATGGAAACCACCACTCACATGACCAATAGTGTTTCTTCTTTCCTTATAAAATGAATTAAAGTGCGCTCCTTTAATTGGTGATGGTGGAAGGAACGCAGCAGCACAGACACACACACACACAGTGAACTGGGTGCTATGTGCAAAGCAGGATACACGTGAGAGTTGAGACCCACGTCAGCTCAACACTTCAAGTAGGCAGACGAGTTCATAATAAGTAACCAATTTGCTTTTTCATTTTGGTTCAAAATAAGTATTCAGTTAAGTAATTAAGAAATAATTCAATTTATTTTTACAAAATAACCACTATGTACATATCCCTAAAAAGTTTTCTTACTCCTCACATTAAATATTTAATTAGGGATAATTTAGTCATAGTAGGTATTTTTATATAGAATTTAGTATTTTCTTAATGGGCGTGCTAAAAGCAAATTGGTCACTTATTGTGAACCGGATGGAATATTGGACTTGACGAATGCGGTTTATAAAACGCATTTATTGTGATTTATAAGTCGCATAATTAATTGCGATTTATAAACGCATTTTGTTTATGATTTATCAGCCGTAAAGGTTGCATTTCGGAAATACTAAGCTAACGAAATTTAGAACCATGTAATCGCAGAGTTTTTGGCCAATATTGTCCCTTATCTTTGAGAGCAGGTCTATTTTGGTCGCTCAAATATAATATTGAGCATATTTAGTCCCTTAAGAATGCTAAAGTGGAGCACCTTTAGTCTCACTAATACAATGTGTTCAAAAACTAATGGTGTTACCAACTCTGATTCATGAAGCAAATCTTCTGGTCTGAAAAAAAATGTCCTTTTATTGAATAACGCAAATTATTACTTTAATTCCTTATTTTTAGATAATGTTTTCTAAAATTTTGACCTTTAAAATATCTCCTTCTGTGCCTGTTTTCAATGAAAAAATGATACTGTATAGCCGCTGTAAAAATAATAGCCGAAAAAATATATAAAATTTGTATATATACACATTTTGTATGTTAATATACAATAATTATGCAAATTTTATATGCTTTTCTGCTACCAGATGTAAATAGTTTCCGGCACAAGCTAAAAGTGATAATACAACCTGGTTATTCGTTTGCTTCAATAATATGCCTAGAAGTGATCCTGGCAGCTCTATTTTTTTTCAGATTTTAGCTTCTTTTTTTTTGGAAAAATCAACCGAAATTTTTAAATGTATATATATACAAAAAAATATATAAATTTTATACATTGTCGGCTATTATTTTTACAGCGGCTATACAGTGTCATTTTTTCTCATTGAAACTGGCACAGAAGAGGATATTTTCAAGGTCAAAATTTTAGAAGACATTATCTAAAAATGAGGAATTAAAGTGATAATTTACGTTATCCAATAAAATGAGAGGAAACGTTTTGCTTTAGAGCAGAAGATTTGCTTCATGAATCAGAGTTGGGTAACACCGTTAGTTTTTGAACACATTGTATCAGTGAGACTAAAGATGCTCCACTTTAGCATACTTAAGGGACTAAATATGCTCAGGGTTATATTAGAGGAACCAAGATAGACCTACCCTCAAAGATAAGGGACAATATTATTCAAAAACTCTGTAATCACATTTCACATTTTTTTGAAATTCTTACAAATATTACCTCAACTAATTTGCACATTTTGAAACAAAAATCCAAATTAAAGGAGGTATGCGTAATTAGTGCTATGGTAAAACAAAATAAAAAAAATTTAAAAAAAAATTTAGGGAGGTACAAAATTATCTCGTTATAGAAGTTGTAAATCAACTACTTTTAGTATTTTAATTATATCCCGTACAATAAATTAGTTATATTAAAGAAAATGCACATGCAATCAAAACAAATTACCCAAAAATACTTATTTTTAAGATTATTATAATTTACACCTATTTCAAAAAAAATATTTACAAAAATACTCAATAAGTATGTATGTTGTTTACTGTCAGGGTATATAATTCACATGTTGTATACTTTAAGGGGTCCTTTGGTTTAGATACAAGTTATGCACGGATTAATAATATATAGATTAGCTATGCACGGATTAGTAATATAAAAAAATTATTATGCAGGAATTAATTATACCAAAAATATAATATGAAAATTATTTCTTGTTGATGTTTAGTTTCAAATTAGTATACAACATATAGTTTAAAATATTTGATTAGACCATTTTTGTGGGGAGTATTGCACGCAAATACTCATGATTAGTATACAACGCATTATTTAAAATATTTTATTAGACTATTTTGTAGCGAGTGCTGCACGTAAATACTCATTTCGAATGATCTCATTCGGTAAAATTATTAACTTTGTTTAATCAAATGAAACTTTCCACGGGGAAATTAAAATTAATATATAAATAATAGGACACAGTTGATAGATATTTACAAGGTTTTCATATTTACCCGCACTATTTCAGAGCAATTTAAAAATGTAAATTAAGAGGTTTTCATCTATTCACCCTATTTGAAGATGATATCAAACTGAAAATTTTCATATTTAAAGTAATTTAAAAGTATGATTTGTTAAACCTCAAAAGTTAATTTAATGATGAGATTTTTTTTATACTGTACTGGGAGGCTATCTTTTATTTGCTTAAATGATGTGAACACTTAATTTATATGGTTTGAACTAGGGGTGTACATAGGTCGGGTTGATTCGGATTTTCTAATTATCAAACCAAATCAATTGTATCGGGTTATTAAAATTAAATACCAAACCAAACCAATAAAAGTCGGATTTTTTAATCTCGATTTTTTTCGTTTTTTTCGGATTTTCGGGTTTTCTCGATTTTTTTTTTAATAAAGTCTTCATAGCATAAAACGTAAGTTTTTTGCTCCAAATATTTCTTTAATCCTAGTAAGACATAACTATATAAGGTGTTTTCAATAAAATAACATAAATATGAGATGAGTCATGGCATTGTATTAAAATATTCAACAATAAAGATAACAAAATCGCATAAAATAAATATTATTAATAAGCCATAATGAAAACAAACATAATTTAAAATTATGACTAATAAGTACTATTATTTACCTAACTAACCACTAAAAGAAAAATAAGTTATACATTTTATCTAAACAATGAAAAAACTAAAAAATAGATATCCAACACTATTTATTCATAGTACAATTGAATTGAATGTCTTTAATTAGCATTAGTATTGATTTGATTTTGGTTTAAGATTTATTTGAGTTACTACCATTTATGTACGTTAAAACTTATTGGAGCATCCAAAAATTATAAGCCCAAGTTTGAAATAATACGTTAAAAGATAAAATTATGAAAAAGCTTAAGAAATATTTATAAACTACACTACCATAAATATTTTTATGTATTAAATATATTTAAAACTTCTATACATATAAA